TCTTTATGTTGTATATTCTGTGGGTTTTGACAAATGCATAATGCCATATATCCACCATTACACTATCACATAGAACAGTTTCACTGCCCTAAAAATCCCCTCTGCTCTACCAATTCATCCCTACTTTTCTCCCATTGAACCCCTACCAACCAGTGATATTTTTACTGTCTCCATAGTTTTGCTCTTTGCCGAATGTCATCTACAAAGGGGACCCAAGAAAATCCGGTTTATATTAATTTAAAATTGTGCATTTATTCTAACATGTTTAAACTCCAGTCACCTTCAAAATACTCTTCATTTGATGTAATACACCATTGAGACACTTTTTCCTCTGCTCAAAACAGTTTTTGAACTCGTCAATTTTGATGCCTTTTAAATGCTTCTGCCGCTTCTTCCATATTGGCAAAATGTTTCCCATTGAGCACTTTTTTCATCAGGGGAAATTTTAAAGAGTCACTAAGGGCAAGTTGGGGTGAATAGGGAGGGTGGGGCACAGGCAGGGGTCATGTGGTTTTGGTCAAAAACTGCTGAACACTCAGGGCTATGTGGGCAGGCTGTTTCTGTAAATCACCCATCATGAAATGGGCAAACACATTGAAAGAACCTCCAAAAATAATTCACTGAAGCTGGATGCAGCCTCTCCCAGTGCCGTCTATCACACTGATGCCAATGGGTTCCTAGAACACTTTCCTAGCTAGGGAATCCAGTGCTACAAGAGGCCTGTCCTCCAAAACAAAATTCCAGGTTTTTTGGGGTCCTTCTTCATAAGTGGATTCAAACAGTGTGTAGCCTTTTCAGATTAGTTTCTTTCACTTAGTAATACTTAGTTTTATTGTGCGAGTTTAAAGTTATATTTTTTATCAGAATATAAATCCAGTCAAAAAGAGTAAATTTGAAGCATGTACCTAATCTAAGATACAAAGAAAACTGCTAAACAATGACGTGATGTCATTATTGTCTGACACAGGTATCCTGAGGTTTTCCATAAGAACCTGGGAGACAGAGCAGGGAAGAAGGTGGTACCTGACATAGCTGGCAGATTTTGAGCAAGTGGCAGCAGAATCCCAGCACAAAGGACCAATAACTTGGCTCTTGGCCACTTCTCTTACCTCATCTCCTTCTACTCTCCCAGATTAAAAAATGTTGATGAGAACCTGGTAGAATGAATGAAAGAAAGACCTCAACAAAGGTACATGACTGGTGATTTTCAGACACCAAGGTTAAAAAGGACATCCTGAACGGGAGAGGGGCTGGAGTTCACACACATAGGATTAAGTCCAAGAATAGAATCAGATCTCACAACAGCACACTGAAAGCTAGAAAACGTGCAGTGAAGACTACAAAATGTTGGAGATTCTTTTCAACCTAGAATACTATATTTCCACAAATTATCAATCTATCAAATAGTGTCCCTCTCACACACACTTTTTCAGGAAGTTGCTGGAAAGGATTGCTTTGACAAAACAAGGGATTAAACTAAGAAAGAAGACATGGATCCAGGCAAGAGATAATCCAATCCAGGAGAAAGAGAATGTTCCAGAGACCTCCCAGGATGAGAAGAAAGTCCCAAGATAAGGCTCTCATAGGCCTAGGAAGCAACCTCCCCGGGTGGAAGCTGAGAACACAAAACTGGTGGATAGGACAGGGGGCAGGGAGGACCAGAAGAGGATTTACTGTGAGCCTCAGGGAGCTTGAGCTTGAGGACCCCTCATGCACACATGTCCTATCATGAGCCCCTTACAAGGCCTCAGGAGGGTCCTAGCAACCTCTTCATAGAATCATAAGTTTCTGTACATTATAAAAACAAAAGTCACTTCAACCATCATCAGTTAACAAGACCACTGTCACCTTTCACTCCAACATACCCTCCTTCCCTTGTGTCAGGTGTCATTTTTCAATCCAACTAAGAAGTGAAGATGGAAATACTTTTGCTTGAGTTGCGAGGGACACCGATATGTGAAACACAGTTCATTGTATATGTGCTCATGGTTGGTCCACCAGCACAGGAATCACTTTAGGGGTCCTTCTGCCACGCACTGGTCCGACTCACTGGACGTGGAGGAGGAGAAGGTGGGAAATGAGCTGCCCTGAAGCACCTTTTGCCGGTGATAGGGAAGAAATGTGCTAGAGGAACACTGAAATATCTTTCTCTTCTCTTCATGGAAAGTGACTTTGTCATATGGAGAAGCAAACTGTGAGTATATAGCACAAAAAAGTGGGGGGAATGAGTTTTAGAGGAATGTTGGAATATTAATAACATATACAAGTGATACAGAGATACCAACCTCTGTGTCTTATTTAGACCTGCAGATGTCAATACTAGAGGAAATTACTATATCATTTTTCTAGATTCTGTGATATTTATGGTAGCTTTCTGCTTTTTAAATTTATACTTTTTTCTAATTTAAATAAATAGTAAATGTTATGCTTTATTTTGTGTCCCTAATTTTGAATTTTTTCCTACAGAGGGCTCTCCAAAATTGTGTATGCTTCAGGCCCCATAAAACTTGGATTCACTCCTCTGGCTCAAGGAAAAAACTGCAGCTAAAATACTGATTATATGACTGGTTTGCCTGTGTGGAAAAATTGTACTGTCAGGCTTTTTACAGTTTAGGAAGTCTTAGCAAGAGGATCAAAGAATATGAAGCAAAGTTAAAAATGGAATGATTATTAACTTCAGAAGAAATAAAGTTGTGCAAGAAAGGAAAGGCAATCAGATTGTAGTACTTGCAGCAGTAACAATAGTAGCACAGGCATGATTTATGCAAATTCTAAATTGAGATTTAAATCTTAATTGTAAAGTCTGTAATCCCAGCACTTTGAAAGGCCAAGGCGGGAAAATTGCTAGAGGCAAGGAGTTCAAGACCAGCCTAGGCAATATAGAAAGACCTCACCTCTACAAAAAATTAGCCAGGTGTAGTGGCACACACCTATAGTCCCAGCCACTTAGGAAGCTGAGGTGAAACCATTGCCTGAGCCCAGGAGGCCAAGGCTGCAGTAAGCAGTGACTGTGCCACTGCACTCCAGCCTGGGAGAAAGAGTAAGATTCCCAACTCAAAAACAAAATGTTAATTAACAAATACAAATGGTAAACTAAATTAGAATGTTTGACCTCATCTATATGATAATGACTAAATAATATCTACAAATGATACAGAGATACCAGCTTGTATATCTTATTTAGAACCACAGATGACTATACTAAGTGGTTTCTCTGGGCACCAGAAGGAACCAAAGGGAGCAGGTCAAGTGACATCTTCCAGCCCTATAAGACTTTAAAGTTCATGTATTATTACTTTCATAGTTTTAAAAATGGAATGTAGCACCTGTAGTTCTAGCTACTTAGAAGGCTAAGGCGGAAGGATCACCAGAGTCCAGCGGGTTGACACTGAGGTGGCTGTGAGCGTGTCACTGCACTCCAGCCTGGGAGACGAAGTGAAATTCCAACTCAAATAAATAAATAAAATGGAATCCCAATCATGTACATTTTGAAGGAGCAGTCCCAGAAAATTTTGCCATGGAAAATTGGGAAGTCTTGACCAATCACAAGCTTATAAGTAAAAAATTACTTTGAAACCTTATATGTGAAAACAAGCAAACAAAAATGGCAACTACCTGAACACCACAGAGAATGATTAAATAATATGTGGCACATCCATACCTTAGAATTCTCTACAGTTGCTAAATTCAGTGAGGTCAAACCTGTTAGGTAATGGCAGAGAGGAAACAATGTCCACAAGACACCATAAAGTGAAAAGGGCAGGCTGTGTAAAGATACATCATGATGTGTGTGTGTGTGTGTGTGTGTGTGTGTGTGTGTGTTGAAACATATTTACTAATAGTATGTATTACTTTGTAACTTAAAAAATAAAAATGTAATTGCGTAAAGACCTTTCACAGTCAGTTTCTCAATGATCTTGGAAAGGGAAGCTCCACTCCGAAACTTGCTGGTGATAGCTTGGGTTGGTGATATGTCTAGATCTGTTGGGGTAGGGCAAAAAGAGAGCTGGTATGGTGGTTCTATGCCTGGAATCCCAGCAACTCAGGAGACTGAGGCCAGAGGATCCTTTGAGCCCAGAAGTTCGAGACAAGCCTGGGCAACCTAGTGAGACTCTTACTAAAAAATTGTTTAAAATTAGCCAGGAGTGGTGGCACCTGCCATAGTCCCGGCTATTCAGAAAGCAGGCTGAGGCGGGAGAATTACTTGAGCCCAGAGTTTGAGGCTGCAGTGAACTATGATAGAGCCACAATACCCTGGACCGGGCAACAGAGGGAGATCCTGATTTATTAAGAAGAAAGAAGAAGGAGGAGGAGGAGGAAGGAGGAGGAGGAGGAAGGAGGAGGAGGAGGAAGGAGGAAGAAGGAGGAGGAGGAGAAGAAGGAGAAGGAGAAGAAGAAGAAGACAGCCATGGTGGTGGGAAAAGCCACTCAACAACCTTGGAGACTGAGAGTGGAACTGGGGGTGTTTCCTGTGACCCAGGGGAGACCCCAACCTCAGGGAAAGCTGCCTCCTTCTAGAGCCCTGGGGGGTTCTCCAGCACTAGCCCAGCCTGTCCCCCTTCCCACCAGCTCTAGCCACTGAGTCCCTCTGCTCCAAGCCCCCCACCCCTACTCTGTGACCTGTATCTCTTGGGATTGGTGTCACTGAGCAGCCATCTAGGACTGATGTCTTGTCTCCCCAGCCCTCCTCTCTTCCCCTTCTTTACACCCTACACTTCTCAGTTCCAAATAACCAGGTCAAGCAGAGTTTCGAGTATTTATTTCTTCTTTTCCTGCTCCATAGAGGAAGCTGAAAATTATAATAGTGATAATGAATTGTGAAAGAAGGCAAAATCTCAGCCTCCCCAGGAACTAATACTCTTAAATCACCCCCTTCTCTATCTTTTCTCAACCCCTCTTCCATGCCCCAGACTCTATTTTTCTTCCTTTCCTCAGAATTCCTGACAGAGAAACCAGGGCAGGGCAAGGGTGGATGCTGGTTAGACATAGGTGTGCTGGGGTCAGGGTGCCTCGATGGTGACATTCCGCCTCTTCTCGCACACCCAGCGGTACACCTGCAGGCAGAAATCGTCGTTCCAGCGGCCATCTGGCCGGACCTCTGCACAGTCTTCACTTCCACCCAGCTCGTGCCCCTGCCAGTCATCCGGCTGAGTGGCAGCCCAGTTCCTAAAAAGGCAGGACAGAACTGCGGCTCTGACACCCTCACCACATCCCAGCAACCCTCGCCCCCACTGCAGAAAGGCACAGACTTGAGGGGTTGGGGAGGAAGATGCAGTCCTGGAGGTTGGGAGTCTGGGGAGGAGAAAAGTATCGGTCCCTGAGGGTTGGGTGGGAGTGTAATGGGGTGAAAGGCCAGGTGGCAGTCCCCAGGGCAATCTAACAAGGAGATGAGGGAGGGATACCACTTACTTGTAGTTGGAACTATAATCTGTACCATCCACCCATTTCCAGGACCCATCACTGTCAGTGAGACCTATCCAGGTACCAAAAGGGCTCGTGTGATGTGCAACAAATTTCTAGAAAAACAAGCGAGAAGGAAGTTTCCAGTTTCTTGTGCCTTTATCCTCTCTCTATGCAGGCATGGAGCTGTGATATCCCCCCAGCCTTCCCTCACCTGATCTACCCCCAGACTGAAGCATCAGCACCCAAGAAAGTTGCTTCCTCTCTGTCTTCTATAACCTTAGCTATTGTTCAGTGAACATTTCCTGGGTTGGGTTTTGTGCTAAGTCTTTGTTAGCATTATCTTATTTATTTAATCTTTAGAAGCCCTCTAAGTTGGTTACCACAATGATTCACACTTTGCAGAAAGTTGGCAGAGCCCAGAGAGCAAAGCCAGTACCTGAGTTAGTGGCCACTGTCTCCTGTTCACAGCTCTAGTCCAGCATCCCACTTCATTCTCAACTTCTGGCTTTTACCCCAGCTCTTGTCCTCTCCCTGTCTTTGCCCACAGCTTCAAATTCTTGGAATCTTGATCTTGGTCCCTGTTCCTGCTGCTCCCATAGACCCCAAACCCATGAAGGATGTCAGTGTCAGTCATCTCTCAGGTACATCTGCCCCTGGTAGCTCTTGCTTCTATGTGCAGCAGTCATTTCCTGAGGTTTGTCAGGCCTGGCAGCTTCTGAGCTTAGACCCACAGCCCAGAGTCCCCTATGGTCTAGCTGTGGAGTCTGGAAGTCTGCGATGAAAATAGCAGGATGCTCCGGGTGCGAGGGGGCAGCCCAGTCAAAGTAAAAGTAAAAGTGGTCTTTGAGTTTATAGACAGCTTCTTGGGAGATTCTGCAAGAGGCTTTCTCTTACAGAGATAGCTGTGCCTGGGGACTTAAGTTCCGTGGTCTGGGAAGGCAGCAGGGGAAGGTGTGGCCATCCAGTTTTGTGGAGAAAGCAGTGTGATGAATTGACCAATGTGCACATCTAACAACTGCTTTTGACAGTGTGTGAAGGTCCCCAACTGCAGTTGGAGGAAAATTGCCTGACTTCACCCACACTCCCTAGAAAAATGACTAAGGTTGCAGTTAGTCACCTCTAAGTGCAGAGGGCAGCATCAGAAACTATAACACCTCTAAGTTCTAGAATCCTGCAAATAGGACAATGTTCTGTACACGAAGGGGCAGCTCTCAGAAGCAGGTGAGGCTGCTCCCCAAATAAAGAGGAGTCAACCGTGCTAGAGAGAAAGCATCGAAAGACAAGATATTATCATTGTTGCTACCTGTTGTCCAGTAGCCATTTTCCATCACAAGACACTGAACTGAATGAAGATTATGAATTAGCAATATCCAGTCCTCTGTGTTAAAGACTGAGAGGAAGAATCAAATAGTGCCAGATGCTCAGAGAAGTCAGTCCAGGATAATTTGCCCCCCTTTCCTGGGTAAATAACAGGACAGTAAGAATTACATCCAGTGGCAAAAGTGGTAGAAGGGGAAAGTCACCATGGAATTTAGGCCCAAGAGACAGGAAGAGGAGGAGGAAGAAAGAACTGTGATATCAAAAAGAAAGGTGAACAAAATACTGTGAAAAGGAGCCTTCTTTCATAATATAAGGGGATGTTGAAGAACAATTTCTTTACGCCTTCCAAAATTTAAAGGGGCAATGAATGACATAAAACATCAAAGAAGATATCAAAGAAAAGAAGAAAAGGGAACATGGTGATAAGGAAAGAAACTGAAAAGAAAAGTTCGAACTACATTCTTTTTTAAAAAGCAACTCATTAGAAAACCAAGACTGAGCTATGAAAGATGGGCTTGAGAAAAGGACTCAGAATGCTAAGGAAAGGAGAGAAAGATGGAAGTAAACAGCAAAAAGATGACCACTACGGAGGGCAGGCAATGGAAATGCATTTGAATGATGTGTTCATGAGGAAAATAAAACAAATGGATGAGAAAAAATATTTAAAGATGTGACCCAAGAAAATCTCACGTGTTAGAAGACCTGACCCTATTAAAAAGGCTCTCTTGGTCTGAAGAAGAAAAAAAAATAGAGGGAGAATGACCAACACCAAGATATACCTGAATAAGGTGAATGAAATTCAAAGGTAAAAGAGGCTCAATCTGGACATAACATTTACGAAACCTAAAAAAGAAAAGAATCAGGCATGTGGGAAGAAGTGTGCTGGTTTCCTCATCTTTCATATGTGAAGTAATACAAACTCTTTTAGTTTGGGAAGCCAATAAGTTTCAGCCTACCATTTAAAGTTATCAAAGTAATCACTAGAATACCTCAAAATAACCCATGCCTATTCCAAAATACCATAGGGGAGAAAACAAAAAGCAAATGTGAGAAAACAAAAGAAGCATACAAAATTGGAGGAAAAAAACAGGATTAAGAGTAAATATATATATTTTAAAATAAGTAAAAATGAGATACACTCACCAATTAAAAGAAGAGGTAATCATTAGATGTTTTAGCATCAAAAAACAACCGACTGGGCTCGGAAGCTCAGCCTATAATCCCAGCACTTTGGGAAGCTGAGGCGAGTGGTTTTCCAGAGCCTACGGGTTCGAGACCAGCCCAGGGAACTTGGCAAGACCTCGTCTCTACAATAAATCCAAAATCAGCCAGGTGTGGTAGTACACGCCTGTAGTTCTGGCCACTTGGAAGACTGAGGCAGAAGAATCACTGAAGCTCAGCAGGTCGATGCTGGGGTGACCATGAGTGTCACCCAGCCTGGGTGACAGAGTGAGAATCCAACTCAAAAAAAAAAAAAAGAAAGAAAAGAAAAGAAAAAGAAAGCCTATACACAACCTACACCTGAAGCTTGGTTGCACAGTAGCATCTCTCAGGGGACCATGCAGGAGGAAGACAAGATTAATTCAATCAGCATCTTTGAAGTTGAGACCCAGGACTGGAAAAAAGTTATTTTCAAAAAACTCTTCAAAAGATTATAATGGGCCATTGCTTTACTAGACTCTGGTGTGATCATGTGCTCTTTGAGTTATGGCCATGGCCATGTTTCCTGGCTTTGGTCCCCTTCCCTACTTTGGGGAGGTGAAGCTCCTATCTCTCTCCAATTTACTTTTTAAATAAATTCTATTTTCCAGTCTAAAAAAAAAAATTCAAAAAGGTTAGAAAATGGAAAGATAGATGAAGATGCAGCAAACAAGTGCAAGCGAAAAGAAAAGCAAAGACCATGGTGTCTCTATATCAGATGAATTCGAGGCAAAAAGCATTAAGTAGGACAATGACACGCACATCATGATGAAAGCACCATCCGCCATGAAGGGGTAGCCGTCATGTACTCATTCTGTGCCAACCAACAGAACATCTTAAGTTGAACTGCATAAAATGGACATTTTTATAGGTCAAAGTTAATTTAATATTGGCAATTTAGACCTGATCAGTAAAGCAAAAGATATTTGTAATCACTCTGCATGTAGGCACTTACAGAGTCTGATGGATAGCAACACTCAGTACCCGTAGTCTGGCCCCCATCTCACATGGTTAAATGACTGTGGTGTTTTAATACTGCCAAGCTCATACAGGGCAAAGCCTCATAGACCCCACAGTACCAAGGAACCACATTGTTATTGAAAACACTGGCTGAAGAAGCTGATGGATATGAATTCTGGCTCCATCTCTCCCTAGCTGTGTGGCGAGTTCCTTAAACTCTCAGTCCCTTAGTGCTCTCATCTCCCCCTTTCTCAAAGTGGAGATAATAATGGTACCTGCGCCCTAGGATTGGGGAGATTGAGGAAGCAAACAGATAAAAGTGCTCAGTACATAGAAAGTGCTCAATAAATGTCACCATCATTACCCTCCTTTCCTGAAATAGTCCTATCTATTCTAATAGGTTGATTAATCTCCATGAACTTTGCTGTCTGGTGGCAGCCATGGAACAGGGACACAGAGCATCTTGGAGGGACCCCCCCCCACCAGTGACCCACTACGGGTGAGTCACTGGGTTCCTGCCTGCTCTGCTCTTTTCACCCAAGTGACCACCACTCCGAAGGCCAGCACAACAAGAAGGGAGTCTCGGTGACCCACTGTGTTCTCCACTCCTATCCTAGCCCTATAGATCTCTCTCTCTCTCTCTCTCTCTCTCTCTGTCTCTCTCTGCCTCTCTCTCTCACTCTGTTGCCCAGGCTAGAGTGCAGTAGCACACCCATGGCTACTACAACCTTGACCTGTTGAGCTCAGGCAATCCTTACACCTCAGCTTTACAAATAGTTGGAACTACAGGTGCACACCACCACACCTGGCTAATTTTTTTATTTGTTGTAGAGACGAGGTCTCGCCAAGTTGCCTAGGCTGCTCTTGAACCCCTAGGCTCAAGCAATCCTCTCACCTCCACCTCCCAAAGTGTGCTGGGATTACAGGCATGAGCCACCATGCCCGGTGATCATCCAGTCTCTCATTCTCATCACCTAGTCACCTGGCTCCCAGCTCTTTGCTGAGCTCCTGGCTGCAAACTCCCACCTCTTAGCATCAATGATCACTCCACCAAGAACCTCCCAGAGCTCTGCCCCACTTCCACTCTGGACTCTTCCTGAGGTTAAAAGGTAAGGTAAGCCTGATCCAGCCTCCCAGAGCCTGCCTTCCAAGGGTTCCAACCCACCTGTGGAGAGCGTGGCCTCACCTGCTCCTCCCGGGAGTTGATGACCACCAGGTGGGCATTCTCCAGCTGGCAGTACTCTTTAGCACCAAACCATGTCTTCCCAGAGCGAGAGAACCAGTAGCAGCTGCCCTGGTACTCCACCCAGTTGACAGGGCAGCAGGTGTTTTCAGAACCTGAGTGGGCAGAGGGCAGAGGAGCATGAGGTCCAGCTGGCGGGGACAGGCACACCAGGATGGCAGACTCCCCGTCCCTACCGTTGCCATGGAGTAACGTCATATGGCAGGCCAGGATGCGCAGGTCCAACGGGAAGTGCTTCAGGTGAAGGAGCAAGGCGAAATGATCTGAGGGGCAGATGGACGGACAGTGGTGCAGGCAGGTATGCGGTCTCCCCTACCAGCACCAGGCACAGGGCTCCAGCGAAGCACATGCAAACACATACCACGCACGTACACAACACACCACATACATGCTCCATACCACATACACACACAAAGACCATCACACACACATACACATATCACACCACACACACACAGACACACAGAGACAAGCCATACACACCACACACCTTCACACTCACAAACACTACATACATACACACACACACCACAACACACACACATACAGACCCATCACACATATACCACACCACATATGTGTGCACACATAGACACACACACGCAGGGACAAGACACACACACCACACACATATACATGCAAGCACATATACCACACACACAATACACCATACCAGACACACACACACAGAACCATCATACACATGCCACACACATACACAGACCCATCATTCACACATAGACACATGCATGTCCCTCCCCACACACACAAACACACCATACCACACACACTGGGAGGGTCTCTGACCTGCTTTCAGGGCCTGCTGCTGTTTCTCCAGCTTGACTCGCAGAGACGAGATTGTGTTACCTACGCTCCCTCCTGAAAAAGATAGAAGCTCAATGGTTTCCCTGTGGGATCCCCTTCCCTCCTCATGCTCCTGGCATACCAGTTAGAGCCCATCACCTTGTCCTAGGACACTGCAAGTGTCGTTCACCTGGCTTCCCTGGCCCATCCAGGCTCCCAACAATGCCACAGTGGCTCAGGTCACTCTCCTGCTTCAAGTCCTTCAGTAATTCCCATGTACTCAAAAGAAAGCCTCTCTTGGTCAGCACAGCCTGCCTGCATGGCTACCCCTGCACTACCTCTCTGGCCACCCCACCTCTCACCACCAGCCCCATCAGTGAGCCCTTGCCTCACTAGAACTGTTCACAATCCAAAGACATGCAGTGGCCTTCCTCACCTTCTGACCATCCCAGTTCTGTTCTCTTCACCTGGAATTACCCTCCTTCCTCTTCCCCTATCTCATCCCTATGTGTCCTTCAGGGTTCCACAGCTCAGCACTGGGTTGTCTGCACCAATCTGCACCCCACAGCACCCAAACACACCCCTGTTGTAGATGCAGCACTGAGCCCAGCAAACCCATGTAGATAAACAAGCACCTAACCACTCAGGCCCTCACCATGGCTGCCAAGAGTCTGGATCTCCATCAGGGTGCTCGAGGAGAAGTTGCTGAAAGTCTCCTTCAGGGTCCGCAGTTCTGCCTGCAGCTGCGTACCTTGTCAGGAGGCAGTGGGGACGGGACCAGGTGGAGGGGGCTATGGCCCCTATCACCGTCCATGTGACCGTCCCCCTCCCCGCCCATCATGGCCTCCATCATGAGTCCCACCATTTCCCCACCTCTGATCCCCAATTGCCCCAGCCTAGGACCCACACTCCCTCCATCCCTGCCACTCAGAGTGCACCCATCGCAGTCCATCACTGCCAATATTTCTCCCCTCATCCCTGCCCCATCCTGCTGGCCCCTGTGACCCTCACTTCGGAACCCAATCACACAGATGACCACCAGCAGCAAGATGTTGAAGCCCAGGGCGAGCAGATTGAGGTGGAGGCTGGAGCAGAAACACTGTGCAAGGGGCTGGGGTAGAAGCAGTCCTGTGGGAGAGGGGGGGTGTCAGGAGCCAGCAGACAGGGAACCAGGAGTACAGGGGCACTGAAGACTGAGGCGGTATAACCCAGGTGGAGGGGAGGAGACTAGATGCAGAAGCTGTGGCGATTCATGGATTTTGACTCCTGCAGTTGAGATTGCACATGCACACTTGCACCCACATCAACATGCAAAAACATGCACACACAACTACCCAGCAACACACACATGCCTGCACATGACACACAGTATTCACATCACCTGTGTGCAAATCCCCGATCCTGGATGTGGGAAACTGGGACACAGGGAGAGGGCTGGGAGACAACCAGAGCAAAGCTCAAAAGGATTTACAGGAATACAAAAATACACTTGCATCGGAATACAGTACCCAGCAGGGTAACAGTGACAATGTCTGGCATCCCATTGAAGATTATGTAACGCATAACAAAACAAGAAAACACAACTTATAATGAGTAAGTTAGTAAATCTATCAAAATGGATCCAGAATTGACACAGATGTTAGAACTAGTAGACAAAGACATTAAAACAGATATTATAATTGTATCCCATATGTTCAAAAAATTAAGTTAAACCCTAGAAGATATTTAAAAGACACAAGTTGAACAGAAGTTCATCAACAGAGATAAAAACTATAATGTCTGAAATGAAAAATACACTGGGTAGAATAAATGGAAGATGAGACATGCATAAGAAAAATGTAATTAACTTAAAGACATAGCAGTAACTATATAAAATGACACACTGAGAGAAAAAAGAATTTTTTTTTTAAAACCCAAAACCAAAATGTCAAGCACATTCATGAGCTGTGGGACTATTGATATATGCATAAAGTTTTTAAGGAAAGGGGGGAACAGAAAAATATTTGAGGAAACAATGGCCAAAATATGTCCAAATTTGCTGAAAGCTATAGACATGTAAAGTCCTAGGAAGAGTGAAGCTGGACTCTTAAGCAGTTGATCAATGTCAGCTCATAGGATGACCCCACCCCCACCACCCAGGCAGCAGAGGCTGCTGAAGAGAAATGCACTGACATCCTTTCATCCCCTCAGACTTGCCCCTTATTATCTACTGGTCCATTTAGATGAGCTCCCTCTCCCATTAATTTCAGAAATTCTAGTCTCTTTCCAAGTCTCCTACTCAAACTCTGAATTTGTTCACTCTCAGAAGGTTCAGAGATATTCAAAATCTTTTTTGAGATCTCATTGTGTACCAGGTGCTGGGAACGGGGCACTGGAGTTCAGAGGAAAGAAAGGCAGTCATGGCCTCCACTGGGGACAAGAAATTCCTAGCCCCCCTGCCCACTGCTGCCTTGCCCTGTCCAACACCAGCCCTCCCCTGGTCTGCCAACCTCAGGATTGTGGGGTTCCTCTTCCCAGCCCAGCTAAAAAATCCTCCTCCCTGAGCTTTGAGTCCCAGCCCCTCCTGTTCCCATGGAACCCAGCTCCATCACCAGCACCCACACACCTGACACCCCTCCTCCATCCCTGGCTTCTGTCCTTCTGCCTAGAACTGGTCAGATCTTTCTGGCCTTCAAACCATTTCCCAGACACTTGGGACCTTTAGTCAAGATTTCCTAGAGAAGGATCCAGGTGGGGATATAGGGAAGCAGGAATCTTCCGGGATCTCTCTGTGCCCATTCCCCAACCCATCCTACACACACACACACACACACACACACACACACACACAATCCTGGCTGAATGTGCATTTCTTGTATGCATGTACATGTACTTGCACACACCCAGGGCACACATATTCACACATATTCTGGGGTTGGGAGGAGGAGAGGAGGAAGACATCACCTTCCAAGTCTCTCCACACCCCTGGGCACACACCTTTTCCTTGGTACTGGGGGCAGAAAGAAAGATGAGGCCAAGAAACGAACAGAGGTATCAGGCACCTCAGTACCGGATCATGTAGAGAATATGACGGAGACATCAGCAGGACAGAAACTGAGACAGAGGTGAAGCAAAGTTGCAAACAATGGACACTTGCCTTTCCAAAATGGGTCTCTTCTGGGATTCTGCCCACATGTGCCTGGCCCCTCCCCTCTACCAAGCTGATGGTCATTTTCTTCTGAGTCCAACTGCTGGATGTCTTGAAAGTTCCTCGCCATAATGGGTCCAGGGCTGGAGCCGGAACTGGGCCTGGGTTGAGGTTGCTCTGATGGCTGGGGCTAAGATGCAAATTCACATTGCTGACGGTGGGATGGAATGCAGAGTCTAAGAAGGTCAGGTGGCGGCTTGGCTTGGGTCTGCTTAGCTTGAGTCTATGGTGGGGGTTAGTTTGGGGCTGAGGTTTAGAATGTTGCTGGGTCCCATTCCTTCTCAAGAGATTGCTTGGGCCTTGACCTGGCCAGCAGCCTTCCCTCCATATGCTCATGAACCAGACCACCCCACAGCTTCCCACGGAACCTTCACCATCCCTGAACCAAGGTCTCCTCAATCCCAAACACCCAGTTCCAGCTGCCTCCCAACCTCTGTTACCTGCTAAAGGTGTGGAGAGCAGACTTCTGGCTTCCGCGGGCAGGAGGGACAAGGAGGGGTTAAAGCCAGGGGAACTGGGGCAGATGGAGCTAGTGAGGAGAGGTGTGGAGAGGAGGGGCTCCTCCAGGTCAGGCCCTGTGCTCGCCTGATGAGTGTCCTAGTGATTCTGACCTGGTGTCTCCTGCCCTGGGGACTTTGGACAGTAAATAGAAGTGGAAACAGAGCTGGAACTCAGGCACTGAGTTGCACAGACGGGGGAGGGGACCATCTCAGTTCTCATTCTCAGAAGAGGGTCTCCTGGCCTGTTCCCCCACCCCATATGCCAGTCACCTCACTCTTCATTTCTCCTTCTGGGAGAAAAAACCAGGCTAGGAGGAGCAGGGGTGTCGTTTGCTATTTCCTCTCTGTTCCTCCTCCTTTTACTTCCTGTCTCAGAGTTTACTGGAATTGGTGTTGTCTCCAAATATTACTGACCAGGATCAGAGGGACCGGTTCTCTGCTCTTGCCTAATGTGGCATCTGAGCTGCAGCTTCTTTTTTTTTTTTTTTTTTTTTTTTTTTTTGCAGCTTCTTCTCAAGGGCTCGGACACTAGAGTCCTAGCTCTGGCCTGATTTGCTTCGCCCTTCTAAGAAGTAAAGTCCCTCAAGATCTAGAAACTACATGAGGAAGAGAAAAGAGTCTTGCAGAAAAGCAGCTCTCATTGCAGCAGGAGGATCTGAGAGTCACTTCTAGCCCAGGCTCTGCACCGACCCTGGGAACACAAACATTGTCCTCATGTCTAGCCACTGTTCTCAACTCTCCACAGGGGTTTTCTTATCTCACCCTCACAACACAACACCCCCATGAGGCAGGGATTGGATTTGTTTGTTTGTTTTTTAATTATTATTTATTTTATTTTAAAGATGTGGGGTACAATTCAGGATTAAGTATACAAGTGGTCATCATACAGGTAAAGTTTGGGCCTCCCTTTGGTCCCCACTTATTCCCACTTCCCAGGGAGCCTCGGGGATATTAAGTGAATTGCTCTAGGTAGAGGGAAGAGAAATTGGGAAGGCATGACAGGGTAAAGAGGGGAAAATGACACCGTAAGAAAAGGGTCTTCATGGTCCTATGAAGAAGACTGGGTTCCATGAACTGAGGAACATGGTTGACTAACCATCTACACTTGCACAAACAATAGCTTGGGAAAGAAAACAATTTTTGTCTGTGATTTTCTGACCTTCACTGAACTTGCGTTGCTGGCTATAGGCAGAGCTTTTCTTATGAGGTCATCCATATTTCCCTGAAAAGGGATTCGAACTGAGGCCTGTCTTTTTCTTGTGGTAACTTTCTGACCCACACATGAAGTAACCACATCCCCAATATCCTGACATTCCCAGCTTGGCTCCTTGGCTGTAACCACAGTGAGAGAAGCCTTCCACAGTGGGACCCAGAACATCCTCACCAGCACCTGCTCACAGGCATGTGTACTGGCGTTACTTTCTTCTGAAACCTCAGTGTCTGGCACATAGTAAGCACTCAGCGAGTATTCACTGAATAAGTGAATAAAAGAATGAATTAGAGATGTGTTATTGACACAAAAATGTCATAAAACAATGTGTACCCTACTATCTTAACTTACCTTGCACTCTATTTCATGACCAACTAAACTGAGTTTTCCAATTCTCTAATGGGCCACAACTCAACATTTGAAAAGCACATCTGTGAATCTCAACAGGTAGGTCACACAAACAATGAAAATATGGGCTGAAAAAAGTGATAAGAGATGTATTCGTCCCTTTTGCATTGCTATAAAGAAGTACATGAGGCTGACTAATTTGTAAAAAAAAAAAGAGGTTTATTTAGGCTCATGTTTCTGCAGGCTATACCACAAGTGCCAGCAATTGTTCCTGGTGAGGGCCTTGGGAAGCCTACAATCATGGTGGAAGGGGAGGTGGGAGCAGGCATGTCACATGGTGACAGTAGAAGCAGGAGAGAGAGAAGGGAGTCTCCAGGCTCTTTTAAACAACCAGCTCTCTCGTGAACTAACACAGTCCGAACTCATTCATCACCTTGAGAACTACACCAAGCCATTTAGGAGGAATCTGCCCCCATGACCCAAACAACTCCCACTAGGCCCCAACTCTAATAGTTGGGGTCACATTTCCACAAGAGATTTGGAGGTGGACAAATATCCAAACTATATCAAAAGATATGTAAGATTGAGCCAGTACATCTAAAACACTTAAAAGAATTATAGAAAAAGTAAAAAATAATGGAGAAGGAATAGCCTAAGAAATAACAGAAAACTGGCTCACACCTGTAATCCCAGGACTTTAGGAGGCCGAGGCAGGAAGATCCCTTGAGCCCAGGAGTTTGAGACCAGGCTGGGCAACATAGTGAGATCCTGGATCTACAAAAATAAAAAAATTGGTCATGTGTAGTGGTGGCATACACCTGTAGTCCTAGCAATTTGGGAGGCTGAGACAGGAGGATCGTTTGAGCCCAGCAATTCAAGGCTACAGTAAGCTATGATCACACCACTGCAGTCCAACCTAGGCAAGAGAGCAAGACCCCATCACTTAAAAATAAATAAATAAAAAGAAAAGAAAACATTTATCCAAGCTGTATAAAGCCTTAGTCTCCTGTTCCAAAGGTTTCACCTAGAACTTGGCTCCTAGTTTTTCAGAAGCAAATACAACTCATTCATTTGTCATGTATTCAGTCATCAAATATTAGGAACTTCCTATGCTTTAAGCATTACCAACAACTCCAAGCACTTGCACTCTTTATTCTTTCAGTACCCAAATAACGCTCATAGTTTTTTCCCCTTCTGACAGTAGGCATTACCCAATTGTATCTCCCTTTTCACTTTAGCTTCCAGGAAATTCAGGGTGAAACCAGAGACTACCACATTAGCAACTCTGTAGTTCCTTATAGCCATGTTTTTCTCCCTCTTTTTTTTTTTTTAGGTCTTTCAGGATATCTCATGTGATGAGGGCTTATTGCAGAAAGCAGGAGAAAAGTCCAGAAGCAGAAGAAACCATCCCAGTTACAGAGCGTCCAACACTGTAGACCAGGCACCCCATTGCATCTGTGGTATCATGCCGCAGCTCCGCCCCTG